TGACACAGTCTTAACTGACCATAATATTTTCAATCTTACTGTTACGATGAGACCGTAAAGCTAAGAAGAAATAAAATTAGTTCACAAGACAAAGCACTCACAGCCTTTCCTTTCATAACTCCATGGAAAGGACATGTTCGATTTTTAGAAGCGATTCTAATAATTATCTTGTTACATTGTTTAGAATGCTGCTTTTAAATGCAGAATATAATTATTTGGTTCATTTGAAGTGGAAACAAAGCACTAAGTGAGATGTAGAGAAGGTACCTGCTTCTCCTTACAATTCTTTAACACCAAGGGCACTGTGACAATTGGTGAGCTGACTTGTCATTTTGTTGATTTTCATAAAGGCAACCCAGAATGGGATTACACCTCCGCTTCAGAAAAAACACCTTGTAAATCGATACAAATTGAAAAAGGCATAAAGTAATGTCATTATAAAATCACAACTAGCCCATTATGTATTACAGTTATAAAACAGAGATAATAGAAACATCAGATAGCCATACGGTAGGGTGTGCTTGACAGTGAACTTCTTGTTACAATAGCACTAAGGGCCCAATTGATGAATTTCACTGAAATAACAGTAGTTTCAAATGCAAAGTTTACTTCTGTTTAGAGGATGTCCAGTTAGGGCAAAATGCCCTGTCACCTGCTGTATTTGTGTGTGTTGGACGGACGCTCCTAGATATTCACATAGAGGGGAAACCACAGGGTCTGTGACTCTGTTTTTATTGAGAAAGTCAATAAGGATGTGGAAACAATGAAATAATATGAAAGATATGCCCTTTGCCATCATGTCTACCACATACAGTGAAATAGTGTCAAATTATTGATCATCCTTCATGATTGTACTTAGGAAATTTTTTACTTCAAATTATTCCTTACCATTTTTACAAAGGAAAGTCTAAAACACTTATAGCTCAAAATAAAACATAATCTTGTTAACAACCCTAAAGAAAATGTTCCCAATAAATGTTCTGTGGATTGAAAATACCAAGACAGCTATCTGATTAAAGTTATCTAGTTTTACAAATTTGGTTCCCCCAAAATTGGGAAGGTTCTCTTTTTTGGTGCTCTTTCATTCTAGGTATTTTATTTTATTTTATTTTATTTATTTATTTATTTTTTTTCACAGAAAGAGTCAATCTATTTTTAAGTGATAGTAAAAACGTGAAAACTTATTAATAGGCCATGAATACATAGGAAATATACTAGAATTTTAGAATCAATACTTTTCCAGTTGTGTTTTTGCCCAGATTCTCAGAATGGTCAGTGACACAAAAGAAGTTGTCAGTACATGAGGCTTATCTTTCCACAGTGCGACACTTCACTGAAGGAAAAATCTAAGTCGTGAGGAAGAGCACTATGCAAGGATTTGTGATCAGAAACACTAGAACAGAAGCATCGTATACAGGCTTTCGCATGAAACAAACTCGTTTTACTTAGAAGAACACCAGTGCACTGGAGAGCCCTGGAAAAGAGGAAGTGTTGTGTCAAGATAAAGCTTTCTCGTGGATTTGACTTGTGAGTGTGCCTTCCGCATCAGGTACATCTGGTATACCGCAAATTTGATTCGGTTTTCATCCATTCAGTTGGCAACCAGAATCATGGAAAGAATTGAGTTCATGAACCGAGGTACGACAGTACCATCAGTTGAATTTCTAGACAAACTCTGTTGGGCACCAGACCCTGTGTGCTAGGGACCTCTGTGGTGGCTCACAGGAGCCCTGCCTTCCAGTATTCACACTTATGTCCTTCTCCACTCTCTACCAGATTTGATCTCCAGTACTAATACCATGCAGTTCAAATCATGGTATGATGGTATGTTACTTCTGACAACAGAGTTCTCTCTCCATCTCTCCCTCCCTCCCTCTCCCTCCCTCTCTCCCCTCCCTCTCTCTCCCTCACTCTCTCTCCCACGTTGGAGGAAGCAAGCTGCTGAGCTCTGTAGCACTATAGAGAAGCCCATGTGGCAAAGAACCAGTGTCTTGCCACCCTTTCCTGTAGCCACTGTGGATCACACTTACCAAAACTACTTGCATGAAATGAGGAGCAAATTCTTTTGTTTTGAGACAGGGTCTCGCTGTGCAGTTCAGGTCAGCCTTGAACCCACTACAAAGCCCAGGTTGGCCTCAATCTCATGGTTATCCTCCTGGCTCAACCTCCCCAATACTGGGATTGCCACCACGTCTGGCTTGAGTAGCAAATTCTTGACCTCAGTCAAGCCCTTCTATGAGGACAGCTAGTCATATGAGCCATGCCGTGATACGGCCACCAGAATCTAGGGTCTCCTGGATTCCTGAACCTCAGGAATCCTCAGACATTTTTACAGAAATAAGTGAAGGAAGGAACCATGGCAAAGGAAGGAAAAACACAAGCAAACACACACATAGGTGAATACAACCCAAGAGCAAACCAAGGCTGGGTTTGAACCTGGACCTCCAACTTTCATTTAATCTATTCTTATTCTCCTCACATTTTCTGGCTGCTCTTCTAACATAATAATTAAGGGCTAATTATTTTCGCTATGGCTAAAACTCTATCATAGAAGCTAAAGGCTAATCTTTTGGTTCTCAAGTTCTGCTCAGATATTCAAGAGGAGAGATCACAACAGACTGTTGTAAAAAAATTTATAAAAGTAATTCCTATTTGTGAAAAAATTGATTCTGAAATAGGCACACATCAACGTATCTCTATGAGTTTATTAACGGAAATACATTGGAAGGCATGTTATGTCATAATTCATACATACGTTTACATTTTGCACAGATTGCCAGCCACACAGGCTTAAAGACAAAGGATGAAAAGAGAAAGTCACTGGAGACCCCCCAAAGATTCAGCCTCTTGTGTTTATCCCCAAGGAAATCACGAGTTATCACTTCCTGGTGTAGTTACTACAAAACTAAAATTGGCTTTCTAAAACTACAACTTTACCTTTATTTTCCTTGAAATAGAAAATAAAGGGAAGGAGAAAGCTCTCACGTGTCTCTATGCTACAGGTCTACATTGGTGATCAAAATGTAGAACATATAAGGAAATTTATTTTCATTCCAGACCAAACTTCTTGCCGTAATTCTCACCCATTAGACACTGAAACTAAAGTAAAGCTTTCCATATATTCTTTGTCTGTATTTGGTTCTTTGGAGTTTGGTTGATAAGGTGTAAAATGAGCACATTAGACTACAAATAACAGAAAATGTTTGTTAAAATGGAGAAGTTATAACAGCTACACAAGATATATATGCATAATAGTCTGCCAAAGAGACCCCGTGTCCTTTCTAGTAAATTTTTACAATGTTTTTCTATTCCAAAAATAGTTCATGCATATTGTTGTACTTGTTTAATTTTATTTAATAGTGGATCCCAGCCTCAAAGCCTCCCAGGCATCACTGACAAGAGGGTTTCCTCACTACGCTGTGTTATTCACACCTCTATTTCTTATAAAGTCCACAGTGTCAGTCTACATCAGGTTGACCTTACTCTACAACTTTATTTTTAAAATACATGTGACAAATCCCACAGTCTAGGTCAGGTTTCTTTCATATTTAAAATCTAAGCTAATATTTTGGAGCATTGCGACTGTTTTCCATATACTCAATATTTTCTCCTTGACATAAATGTATACATTTAGGTAAATGGGAGGAACAGCCCCTTCATCACGCTTGGCTTCCACTTAGCTAAGCTGTCACTTTAAAATGTGAAAAATGAAAGCATTTAGGATGGAGACAGTGGCCCTGACAGCATCTGCAGGTGATTAATATTGGAACAGGGGAGACTGTTAACTACATTCCCACTCTGTGGACCCCTCCAAACCGGGAAGTGCCTCGGGTTGGGGCCAGGGTTAATGCTTCAGCTCAGAGGAAGGCATTACTCAGAAGTGCAGGTGTTGAGATATGGATCATCTCCTCCTTTTTGGGCACTCTCTTGACCCGCCACTTACTAAGGAAGGCACAGATGTGCTTTGTGCGTGTATTTAAATGGATTTCATGTCATCATTGAAAGTCATGACCTAAATTATGTCGTTATATTGCAATCACTACATTTTCACATGTCATCATACCTACATTGTAGTTGAAGGTATTTTATGGACATGCTCATTTAAAAAAACAAAGCCATGCGGTCTCATTTGCTTACAAAAGGAATTTAAAAACATAAAATAAGTTTTGGTTCAGCAGAAATGTATCTAGTTGAAATACTGGAGAAAGTAACCACTCTGCTCAATACTTTTCTGTAATACTAAAGGAAGAGCAATATAGTACATATTTTAAATATAACATATAAGTCATGTTGATTTCAGTAAAAACCCATTAGAAATAATTTTAGACATTCAACAATAATTATTTCTGTACAACACAAAATTCTATTGTTAGACGTGAACAAAGAAAAGTAGGATGCGACATAGCATTTTATTAAATCAGTGCATAACATTTCGGAGCTTAGTTCTTACTTTCAAATGCCTTATGTATTTATATGAACCAAATTTTAAATAGGCGAGCACAAGGGAACAGTTTGTAAGATTATATAAATATAACATTTTCTTTTATACTAAATCACTTCAGAATCTCTTGAAAAATTTTAAACTTTTTTCTAAAAATTTCTGGCATAGTCTTGATTTAAAAGCTGGAAAAATCACAATCCATAAATTAACTTGCAGAATTAAGCATCTTTGTAGGCTGAACTTTGGAAAATTGTTATTTTTTCAGTTATAAAAATGACAAAATCATAAGTTTAGTGGAATAATTTCTTGGCATATATCTTCAGCTATGAGAAAAATTTTAAACAGCCTCTTTCTACTTTTACTTGTTATTACAGTTTTTGAGACAGGATATATTCTTATTTAACATGATTCTCAAACAGTTTACTTTACTTTTTTGACCTTTAAAAAGAAATTATAGAATAAATCAGTCAAAATGGCAAAACAGCCAAAATAAAAGTAGATCTTTTTCCTCTTACCAAAAAGTCACAATTCAAAGTTGAGAAAATACACAATCACTTACTTTGGTAGAGTTTTCAAGTGGTTTTCTCTTAACTCCAAGATCCGCAATTTGACAAGTCTATAGAAAAGAATTTTTAAAAATTAATCTTTTTCTGTGTAAAATATTTATATGGTAAACTGAATGGTCATTATCCAAATAACTTTGGTGAAATATTTTTTCCAGTGGTTACAGATTTTAAAGAAATATGCAGATTGATGGTAGATAGCGTTATAGCACCCTGGGAAATGGCAGACCACATTTGTAAAAATAGATATGTTAATGATATCTTTGAATCTCAGGCCTTTCAGATTGCTAATGTTTTATAAAAATGCACTCACTGTTAGACTCAATTTTGTGCATTCAGCAGATTTTTGAATATATAGTAAAGAATAGGTATTGTGTTCACATGTTAATACTTTCCCTTCAGAACTATAACTGCGCTTGAAAAGTTAACAGGATAGCACAGAGGTAAATACCTTGGGCTTTGTGGTAGGACTATCTGCATGAAAGTTTAGACTTTCATACTCTGTCTGCAGCACTTTGCCAACTAACTGACCCCTTCTAACTTCGGTTTCCTTGTCTATATGGGGGTGATAAAAGTACCAAATTCATAGTGTTGGAATACATGAAAACCCACACGTTATTGGTTATTGCTGATTTCATTAATTACACACTTGGAAAACCCTGTAGCAGCCTCTGCTTCACTGGATCAAATATATATGTTTTAACAGTTTTAACATTTCCGAAAGAGTTTGCATTGGAAAAACTGTGGCATCATCTGCCCGTAACAATGTTAGAGTTGAAGAAAACCATGCAAGAGGCTGAGAGCTGCTCAGAGCTCCAGTTGCTTGGGGGACAGCTGTCATTAGGAATGCAGCTCAGAACTGGGGTTGAGACCTGCCATCTGGAACATGCTATTGTTATTCATGTCTATATAGAGCTTTAAAAGGTGCTTAGATGAAGCAACTACAGGACAGATTTAACTAGATTCTCTGTATTCTTAAAGTTTTGGGAATGTTTTGCTATGTAAGTATTTCACCCATTACTGCCTGTATTTATGATGCTTTTAGTTTTAATCTAGGTCTCTTCCATTTCCATTTTTGTCCTTCCTATTGAGCTTAAATTATACAGTATAAGTCAAAACATACATGGCAAGTCAGTTCTTCAGTGGACAGATATATTGCTAGTAAAAAAGGTTTCTTAAATGTATTTTCTCCATCAGCATGATGATACTCTGAGATTGATACCAGATTTTAGGAGAATCGAATCCTAGGTTTTGGAAGGGTTATTAGCATACTTTTGTTAAACTACCCAAGTGAAGATTAAAAACAACCATTGAAAATTCTAATAATAAAACAGAGGATGTTTTGGAAGTCAGTTTACACAGAAGTCAGATTCTAATTCTAAGTAGCTTGGGTATTGGTATTACGTTTTCTGTTTGCTCACACCTCATCTTTAATTTAGAATTACTTAAAGCAGGTGCATCTAAGTTGAGTCCCATGGGCCACATGTGGTCCTGGACAGCTAGTAATGCAGCTCCACAGGTCACGAGCTGTTCACCTGACTGTGTGACTTTAGTGATATTTTTCATGGCTCCATTGAGTGGGGCTGGACTGTGGCCTGTGTAGGTCCGGCGCAATGCAGTGCCAACTGTCTCCCTCGCCAGCCACACATAGTTTAATCAAAGCCCGCGTGTGTCAGGAGTGACACACACGTGTCATGTAGTGAGTAAAACACCATCTACTTGCGTAGTTTGTAAAACTTGCAGATTTGTGAAACTCATGGATCAAATACCAATGATCATATTTCAACCTACTCACATGCGTGCCCCTGTGAAATCAGGTGTTTCTTGTTATGAAACACACGTGAAGATTTTTATTTAATTATTTCAACTTGGGCTTGTGTTCCTTCACAAAATAAATTAATATGTTAAATTATAAAAAGGAAGTTTTGTTGTCTGTGAACATTTCTTATATATTTTATATGCAGCCTCATGTAGTCCTTCTTCACTAGTGGGGCCCAGACAAGCCAAGAGGTTGGAAATCTGTGAATTAAAGGGACCTCACAAATTCCAACTCAAAGGAGTCAAAATTAGGGTGATAATTAAATACTTAGTAACCTGACAATTCAGAAGTGTATCATAGCGTTGGTCTGCACCAGAAAGACAGTTCTAGTTTATATGGATAGAGAGTGAACTTCCAATTTATTTAGAAGCCAGGAAAATGCTCTTCTAAAACTCTGTGAGTTTTACAAACTGCCCAAGTATATGGTGCTAACAGGTGCTGTGATACCATCAGCCACAAAACTAAGGGCAGCTAAGGAACATTATCAATGTGCGCTCAGCGAGTAAGCGGAGGCGGTTACATGCTCACCGAGCTCCCTTATGCCACTGAGTTCTCAGGTCATGCTCTAGCTTCTGCAAATAGGTGTCGAATTATGCCCCATCTATTATTTGAACAATTTCAAAGATGATCATTTAGAAAAATGTAGTTGACAATGAAAAATTAAAATAGGTTTAAAGTTGCATCTTTCCTAGAGAATAAAATTGCACAGCAGAGTAACTGGAAAATATTAAAAACTAAGAATGAAAATGAAAGTTAACCGTGATTTTACACCAGAGTAACCATTCCTTCATCTCATGAATATTTATGTTGAAAACACACTTTATTTTTTTTATTTTTTTATTTTTTTTGGTTTTTCTCCTGTACCAGGAACCGAACTCACGACCTTGCGCTTGCCAGGCAGGCGCTTTGCCACTGAGCTAAATCCCCAGCCCCTCACTTTATATTTTTGTTAGTATATGTTCCTAGATTTAACTCATCATAGGAATTACCAATATATATTTTTCTAATACAAGATTATTAACCTGCACAGAGTGTTATCATGTGGATGAATCATTATTTAACCAACTTCCTAGATGGATGAGATTTCACTTTTCTACTTTGTCAGTAATAATAAATGTACTTGTCTATAAATCTTATGTGATATCTGGAAATGGTATGAGATATTCCTAGAAATGAATCACAAAGGCAGTGGCTGTTAGTGTTTTCAAAGCTTTGTAAGGATGCTTCTCCACCTGCAGGTCCTAACACTCTGCCATCCGATTAGCAGGACAGAAGCTTATCTCTGCCCTCACACTCTTAAGATAGTTTCACAATAGGCTAGAACACAAAGTCTCTCACTGTCTTTTTAATGTGTACCATGTTTATGATTATTGAAGATACATATTTTTCATGTGTTCACTGGCCATGCTGTTTTTCTAGGAATTGCCTTTTCATAGTGTTTACCCATTTTCCTCAAGATCTTCATCCTCATATTCATTTGTAAGAATTCTTTATATATTAAGGATACAAATAATTATTTTTCATATATGATGAAAACATTTCCTAATTTACTTAAATGTTTTATTTTCTTATTTTAGTTCAAGAGCATTCAAATGCTATTGATTTATAATTTTCTTTTTTGCGTCTATGCTTATAAAGGCATTTCACAATCCAAGGGACATAAATATTCGACTGAATTTCTTGCAGATCATCTTCTGGTTTTACTTGTTTTGATATTTAATTCTCTAATTCATCTAGAATTTATTTGTTTATTGACGTTATATGAAAACCCAATTTTACTTCCTTTTTGCAGAAGTAAACTTTATCCCTGCATTAACAGTATTATTTGTTACATAACAATGAGGCCTAACTTTAATCTCAGCTGTCACTTTTGAAGCCTCACCCATGGGTTCTGGTGAAGCACTTACTGAAGCTGAATAAAATTGCATAACTTACATTTCTTATTCTTACCTTCCAAAATTGGCTGGAAGAAATTCAAGAAAGGCGTCATTCAGGTAGAGCTGGGTCAAGTTTAGAAGCTGCGTGAAGCCATCAGGGAGTCTAAAAAGGAGTTAAAGTTTTAGTCATTGCATCAATGTTACTATAGAAACAGAACAAAAATACATATCTCTGAGAAGAAAAAATAGAAATGCAATACATTTCCCATCTCTCCTTTGGTGGCACAGTAATGGAAGGATTTATTGAGCATGGTGTTACAGCTTGAAAATTTGCCCCATTATTAACATAAATGATAGTTGCCCACCTCCTTGCCACTGTTCTCTGCTGAGACTGATGTAGCTGTCAAAGTCAGTGACAATGTCCCTTACTGCTGGCCCAAACTTAGACACACCAGCCACGACCTTTTTAGTGGGACTCTCCAGTTGTGTGGCACGTTTTGTAATTTTAACATTCTGAGCTTTGGTTTTTTCTTTTTTTGGTACTAAGAATCAAACTCAGGACCTTGCGCTTGCCAGGAAAATGATTGTGCTACTGAGTTACATCCCCAGCCCAAGATTAATATTCTTTTCTTAGTAGAATATTCACATACATGGTGAGGTAAGAATATCTATACATTTAATGATTCCAGTGAATTATTCAATTTTGTCTACATGAACCTGTGCTGACAAAAATTGTCTAATATGGAAAGGGAAAGAATAAGTTGACACCTTTACTGATAATTTTTTTCAATGCAAATGCAACACATTTTCATGTTAGGATTCAAATTGGTACATCTCATGTTTATTAAAAATGAGCAAGAACATTGAAAGATAATTAAGCAGAATTATAAAGGCTGTTAGAAGGATCAGAAATTCAGATAACACCCTTTGCGAGAAGTTTAGAAGCTCGATGAAATAGTTATTTGAAATATCACCTCTTTTTCACTAAAAACGACTAAATTCAAAGATTCTTCAGAAGACCTTCTTTAAATAATATTGATTTTTTTCCTATAAGTAAATTTGTATTTAAACACTTTACTATCTTTATGTGTGGTCTAGTCTGGATTACGTTCTCTAATAAGATATTTCTAAATAGCCTTCAAATTTGCCTTTTGCTCAAGTTATCATCTATCTCCTTTTCGGCATTTGCTGCTAAAATTATTTAAAGAGCTGCCTATACTCCTCGCTTTTACTGCTCTTCTGGTATTGTTTTCTGGCATCTACCCGGCTCACTGAGTGCATCCCCACTCATCCAAACCTCCAGTGACCTCTTTGGTCCCAATTCCCATTCGCTTCTTTTCACTTTCTAACCCACACTGCCTAGCAACAGTTGCCAGTGTGGACTGTTCCCGCCTTCTCTGTTCTACAGCAGTTTTCGTGTTTCTCCTCCGACTCCTGGGATATCAGGTCCCAAGAATTTCATTTCATGGCTTCTCTTCCTCTGCCCAATCCTTACCATGAAATATTTTCTTGGTAGCTTTATAGAAAAGAATATGTGTACATTGAATAGAAGGGACAAATAGAACAGAACCTTTGAAATTCTCTAGGTGCCCCCCCCCCCTTTACATCTTCTTGGGTACCTCCCAAGTTTCTGTATGGTGTTAATTATTTCACTATTTTCAGAGCTTTCCTATGTAACCATTTAATTCTTTAAAAAAAAAAAGGAAACATTTTTGTGGTGTTGCCTATTTTAAAATATTTTATATATCCAATCACACTGCATACAGTTCCCAGAGACATGTAAAATCAGCATTCGCTTTTTCAGATTCACCCACTTAACGCAAAAAATCAGCCATCACAGCACAGTCTGCCATTGTATGACTATCACAACTTATTTACTGTTCTCTTTGCAATGAACATTACATTTGTGCTTAGATTTTTGCTTTGCTGTTAGAAGCCGTACTTCTGTGTCTATCATAGAACACATATCCCGGCATATACCTTTGTAGGAAATTATTTATGTTACATCCCTAAAAGTGACATTACTGGGTCATAGGAAATACAATTTTAAATTTATTAAATGTAGCCAGATTTTATTAAAAGAGGTCCTATCTACTTATCACCAAACTACTATCACTTTTGTTGTTTTGATTTTGTCTCCATTGTTTTGTCAGTTTTTAATTTTTAAAATTAAAAAAAAAGAACTGTGCTTCGTATGACCTCAGTCACTGGTTTTAGAAGATGTTTTCCCCACTTGTATCAATTTGGTAAATGTAGAATCAGAATAACCATTTCCTTGATGGTTTCTGAACAGTTTTTTCGTAAGTTTACCAGCAATTTGTGATTCACCTTCTGTGAAACAATTTCTATTGCCCATTTCCTTGCTCCAGCGCCTCCCACCCCTTCTCCGGGGCAAACTGGAGCAACTGCTGATTGCTAAACCCCTGCTCCTTCTCTGCAGGTTTGCTCAGCGACTGAAGCCTCCTCCGTTCACGCATACCCTGAGGCAGAATCCAGGGAATCAGTGTCCCCTGGGCCCTCAGTTACTGACCGGCAGGAACGCAAACACCTCCGTTGCCACATCTACTGTATCTGACAGTTCTGTGCTAGTTCTGCACCAACCCCAGAGCTCCCCGGAGAGATCAGTTCCTGCGGTCAGTGCCGCTGAACAGCATGAGGACACATCCTCAGCACCCTGCTCTAGGAGTACCTCCTGAACGCCTGTTTCCACTTCAAAACATCTACTTCTGGGGACTCCGCACTAAGTCTAATTCATCTTTCTAGATTAACTTCCAGCAAGTCTTAACCTTTTCTGAAGGCAGTGATCTTACATTGGTTGAGAAGGTGGTAACTTTTTAAAAATATTGGTCGTTTTTGCTACAAATACTGGGTACAAATTTGTATTTTGGAGTTGGGATGTTTGAATGTGACTTCGCAGAGGATGTTCTCTTAAGTTTGCTCTTAAGAAAGTGTGTCAGTTAAACCGGATTATAAACTTGATTGTCTTGTGAGTCACCGAGGGGAGGAAGTAAAGTGTCTGGCTGGGTCGTGGAGGCGTGATCTTAGGGATTATATCTGATCTCCTTCCCCCTTCTATCAGGCACTATCCCCTTGTTCTGCATTCGGATCTCCATGAGGTGAGCTGCATTCTGCTAATAAGCTCCTCCGACATGATGTTCCTGCCTTGGAGACGGACAACTATGAACTGAATCCCCTGAAACTGTGAACCAAGGAAACTATTTCCTCCTTTAAATTGTTTTCTTTTGTTTGTTTGTTTGTTTGTTTTTGTTTTTCTTCTGGTACCAGGAATCTGAACTCACAACCTTGCGCTTTCCAGGCAGGCACTTTGCCGCTGTGCTAAATCCCCAGCCCCTCTTCCTTTAAATTGTGGATGTTGGATATTTGGTCTCAGCAACAGGAAAGCTGATTAACACAGAGAACTAAGATTCACAAAAATGGGGAAGCAGGGGTGAGGGGAGGAAGGCAGGGGAAGAGTGAGGAGGGTTTATATAATGTAGAGGTGAGAAGGTAGCTGAGGTGGGCCATGAGACGGGCTCCAGAGAGAATACTGTGCGTGTTAGAATATAGGAGTCAAGATCTGAGAGTATCAATAGGGGACAGGACTTAGAGGGACTTGAATGTTCAACTCAGACATTTGAACTTGATCCTATAGGAATAAAAATATTTCTGAGGTGAATAATTATTTTTATGCATGTATCTCTTTGTTGTAATGCTTTATAGCTCAAATCCTGATAACAAGATGGTTTTTGCTAAACTCACATATGCTAGAGAGATTTCAGTCCAAACGTTACCGCCTTACTCATGTATTGTTAGTACCTAGAGTCACCAATTAAAAGATTATTTATAACTTTTCAAGAAAGAACATCAACGCAATATATAGTAGAAGGTTAATTATAAGTAGAAGGTTAAAATCATTTCCTCAGTCCATAATTCATAATCCACATTAAATAGTATTGTACTATTTCTTGATCAAAATCTCTTCTGTTCTGTTGCTTCTTTGGCAGTGCTTATGCCACAGAAGAAAATGGCTTATTACATAAAACATTTCTTTTAGGGTTGAAAAATTGACCACATGTTGCAGATTCAAATTGAAAAATTAGACTACCAAAAATAAGTTACATGCAAAAATAGGGTGCAAGGTGGAAAATTTTTTCTGCCACATTATGAACATATATATATATATGTGTTGATATTTTATATGGAACTTTCTTTAAAAATGTAGAGCATTGAACATTTTTTCATATATTTATTTTCCATTTGCACTTCTTTATCTGAGAAGTGTATATTCATCTCAGATGCCCATTTTTGGACTGTGAATTTACCTTTGGGAGTCTGACTTTTTTCAGTTCTTTATACAATGGAGTACTACTCAGCCATAAAGAAAACTTGAAACATTTCTAGGTAAATGAATGCACTTTGAGACCATACTCTTAATGAAATAAATTGGACATGCATGTGTAAATATCACATTGAAACATGAAACATTTCTAGGTAAATGAATGCACTTTGAGACCATACTCTTAATGAAATAAATTGGACATGCATGTGTAAATATCACATTGTCTCTCTGGTGTGAGAAGCTGAAAATGTAAACAAGGATCGAAATACATAAAAATGTAGAGTGAAGGTTATATTTATGGAGTATGACTTATTTAATAGTATCTTTCTATCTTAATTCACTTTAACAGGAGTTTATTAAAAGGTACTCCAGTGAGGTTTAAAATGACTCTCTTCTTTCTCATATTAATTTTTGCACACTGTTCATTGATTTAGTAGGACCTTGTTCCAATTACATACTGATCTAGTATAGGGAATTTTCCACTCTTAGGAAGAATAAATTATAAATTATTCAAAGTTTTAAAAAAATCTCATGAACTATCCAGCATTGTATTTTGAAAATAATGGGCAATAAAGTGGATTAGATATTATCTGAAAAAATGTAGCCAGCAAATCTGCTCAGAAGACATTCAGTGTGCTTTGTGAACGTTATGGTATATGCCTGTGGCTTCCAGAGGACAGAATCTTCCCTTCTCAATGCCACCACTTACAAAAGAGGAAGAAGAACTGTGACGGGAATGTTCCCAGAGCACAGGGTGTACTCCACGAGGGTGACATGCATGGGTTCTTGTTGTTCTTATCTGAACTATACAAGGAAACTCAATA